TCCTCGAACGTTCCTCCTCTAGTACGACCACATTCCCATCGTTCCTATTGTTTTCCATTTTTCCCAACTTCCTTTCACTTGTCCGGAGAGTTGGGAGAGGGGAGGGGGAGGTGGTAAGTGAAGCACTCGAAGCAGGAAGAACTGAGGAAAGTCAACAACCCGAAGAATTTCTCTCGAAGGCAAATACGACCCGCTCAACGTAGGCGCCCTGGTGCTCACTGTAATCGACGTTTCTTCAGTACCCTCAAGGACAAGGTGTACAGGACTCTACAGCTGCAAGGGCTAGCTCTTATGCAAGGAGCATGAGAGACCGTTCAAACCACTGAAACGAGGATGTTAATAACGGACCAGCAGTTGGACTCGACTGGATAGGACCAAAAACGAGGACGTCAGGGCTGCCATGCTCAAAGCCCTTCCCCCCATCCGAAGGCAGGAAGCAGCCAGTGCAACTATATGGACTCGTGCTTCGAAGACCACAGGATGGCCTGTGAGAAAAGTACAAGACCGCAAAGCTCAGGGCAGGCGACCACAAAAGTTTCCAAAGAAAATATGGAGAAACACCGGGAGAAAGAAGGTGCAAGGGAACTATGGAGAAATATTACACTGGGGGGAAATGGAGAAGCTGTAGTGGGAGATCCTAGGGAAAGCAATGCGTAATAAGAACGCATTTATACTTAGCGACTTGATCATTTGCATCGCGCGACCAGATCACTCGAGCGTTTGGCTCGCGCAATCGGGTCACGAAGTGTGAACGCGTTCTGAGCAATGTATAGAAAACTAATGATGAATATCGTAAAATAGTAGTTGTTCAGAAAAAAAATACAGCCTTATGGCTGACCTTTATAGTACACCGTAATTCTCTGATTGTGCTATCCTGTTCTAGTATATGGGCCCTCAACTCGTCTTCATTCATTCCCAACTCGACAACCTAAAAGAATCGAATTAGTGAAAAATGCCCGATTTTTCGGGTATAAGCCGCATGCATGTATTGGCAAGGTTGCAGCGACGCACGAGAAGCACACAGTAGTTTGCTAGCTAGTCTGCACCAGCGTTTCGCTTTTTTTTGCTTTTTCCAATCTTCCAAACATTTATTGTTCAACAGACCATTTACATGTATAAGAAAAAGAAAAAAACGCAAAATTCAGGGGGAAAGAAACCTTGGCGGTGTTCGGGGCAGAGATTCGCCTTATACACGGGTGCGTCTCTACCCCAGAAAATCAAATAAGGATAAATTCTTCGCCTCTTTTTTTGTACAGCCTTTTTTAGGATGTGGAGCGGATTCCACTCTCATTCAGAATCGCAGTGGCTTACTGATGCGATGTGGCCTCGGTGTTTTTGTACTCCCAGATAAAGGCTGGTACCAGATTACTGTCCCTGAGGGGAAAAGCTCGATAGGTCCGGTTAGGAGCCGATCCTTTATTTGACACCCGGACCGTGCGCGTGGTAACCGTGCCACATGACATCCTTGTAAGGCAACGTCTCCCTTCAGCCGGGCTAAGTGAATGTAAAGGAAACTGCAAGGTCTAAATCAAAAGAAAAATGAAAATGGACAAAAAGAATTCATACCATACCGCATAAGGTGAAGAGAAACTGGTGTTAGGTTCAGGAGCACGACTATTCGGAGATAAAGCCTTTCGTCGCGTCCTCGCCGTCGGAGTCTTTAACGGCGTGTAGTAAGTTTTGCAATGGGAAAATGGCTCGGAAAGCAAGGTCTGAGGCTCTCCTCGGCGACGAGTAAACTGAAACATACTTATGGAGGACGCGACTGCTAAGAATAAGAAGGTCTAAGCGAGGATGAATCAAAATTCGTCCCATTCTGACCAGATCACTCTTCTAATTCTTGGAAGCGGAGGATACAACACAGATATGTACGCTCTAGGGGATTTCAAATGGTCTTATTCGACAGGATAAAGACACACGTGTCTTTCATGCATGGTTTTCATATTTCCAGAGTGGTTCTTAATAAGCCGTTCTCGAAAATGCTCATTGTAGTATTGGTAAGGACCAATAGAGAAACATGCAAAGCAAAAGTAATTACTGGAGATGAGAAGAACTTTGCGGGTGTTAAAGCGTGAAGTGAAAATGCCTTCTTACTGCCAGGAAAGGGTCGTTCAACAGCGCATTTGAACAAACAGCAAATATGAAAGTGCACAAATCTGATGCTTATATACATGTTTGTGCAACCTCCCCTCAGTAACTCGAGAAGAAACTGAAGATATTGTCATGAAGGAGGACTGAAATGGTAAGTGTGATCCAGTTTTAGTGAGAGGAGCATGGAAGAGGGGAAGTGTGTTCGCATCTTCACTCAGGGAGGAATGTTATCCAGAAGTTGGAAGAAACGAAATCCATCATTACTTCCGCTCTTCACCAACACGAACCCAATGATGCAGCAGGAGTAGCTCTGCCCTCCTTCCCATCCCGCCCACCAAACAAAAAGAGGAAAATCCGAAAGCTATCGTGTTCAACAGTAATAACATCGATTACTGGCGATCCAGGGAAAACGGAAAATTGTACAAAGTCTGGATTGACCGAAGGTGAAAAGCAGCACGACCATTGTCGTCTAAGTGAGAAACATCGAAAATATCGTTGAACCTCTGTGTTTTGCGAAAAAAAAGTGGAACTCATAAAAAGTTCTAGAGAGATGTCAAAAAGATCAGAATATTAATTACAGCTCCGTACTGGCAGGCTGACACTGACTGTCACTAAAAGCGGAAGAATCTCGAGTAGTTAGAAATCCTTCATGGCAAATTATTTCTCATATGATCGTTTTGTCCCAATGGCGTCATTCAGGTGTTTGAATTCGCGCTAACCGCAGCGCCGGCGCGAATCACTGATATTTGAATGTCCCTGTTCCCAGCCGACGAAGTAGCACCCGCATGCACTCCCGCTAAACAGGGGCGTGTCGGACGTGGAGGATCCGAGCGGAGGGGAAAGGGAAGGGATCTTTGGTCGTTGAAAGGCGGTCTTATTTGGAGAAACTGGGAAAATTTTTCGTGCCTGCTCATTTTTTTACCATTTCACGCACGCTATAAGCCACCCAGGGCACGTTTTGCCGTTGGGAAAAATTGCAAAATGTAGCCCCAGCGCCAGAATTTCCAGCTTTGATACGGCCACCCTTCCTTCCTTATATACCGCTTTCCCAAGTGCTGACAACTTGCACCTTCCGGAATTTTCCAAAATTTCCCACTTCCAAACTCCGTTTCTTACCGAAAAACTACCATGGGGGCGGGATGACGCACAGCATATGGTGCAACAAAAGAAACAAGCAAATCCAAGCAATCGGGAACGTCGCTTGAAAGCAAATGCGGCCCTTTCCCTCCAGCGACGGAATACGACCCCCTCAGGAAGCAGGGAGAACTGAGGAAGATGGTACGTGAGACGGGCAACGGGAGTCGTACCAGAGGAGGAAATTCTGGCTCTCAATTCTGGGACGTCGTGATTTGTAGGGGATTTCCTCCACCGACAGGATTCTGCTAGTTGGCCAGAGGTGTCTACCACCTCACAGTTTGAGTGAAGGATAAATTGGGGGAAATGGTACGTAGGATTTCAAACGTTCGAGAAAATTTGTTCCGATTATTGCTCGGTTGTGGAAGGGGGTAGCAACAAAGGGCAAAATCTTGGGGAGGAGTAATCAGCGAAAATTCTCCTGAATGCCAGCGCGTGGATTATTGGGAAATCTGGCAACGGTCTGCTGCTGTGCCCGTAGGGTAGACAGCTGTGGTTGCCCGGAACTGCGACTGAGGGCGGAAGTCGACCCAGAACTTGCCCATGAACCGCGCGCATAATATGCGGGCCACCTGCCAGTAGATCTCCAGTGATGACTGACTTGAGAAAAGTCTGTACATGGTTCGGAAAAGAAATCTTTTGTGGGTAGTCAAAGGGTGGTGTTCGGACGTGACCGGTCAATTCATGCGGTCCACACAGAATACTAACCAAAATCCACACAGAAACATCATCGTTTTACGGTGACTCAGTCCATTCAGATGAGAAGCGATGTTTCACGGTCGTGCCGGAACGTCCACACCAAAACCGTAGTAGCAGCTCTCAGCTGCATTCGTAACTTGTAGACAAATCGTACACCCACCCACCTTCAAGGATGGTCGTTTCCATGTGCGAGGTGAATAGGTCCGCAGCTACAACGGCCTGCTACTTCATTGTTTGAAGGTGCCCGGGAACTGGGCTGGAGAGTTATGATACTCAATGGGTCTCCGTACTCTGCCCGCGCCATCCTTCAGATGCAGCGTTTGCGTCGATATCAAGGTCCCGTGAGTGAGCCGTAGAGAACACCAAAAAGGCCAAAGTGGGAAGGTCAAGAGAACTAGCTTGTTTGGCTGTAGTCAGGCGCTTAGCTCATCGAGCCGCAGCGTGGACGGAGTATGAAAACGTGACTCCGGTACTGTCACCCCACAGCTGCGTTCCGGTGCGTTTTTGAGCAGAGAAAGACATTCTACTCCAAGTGCGAACCTTCTCCCCTCACGGGCAAGGTGTAGCGTCCACGGAAGTGATGTACAGTTTGTCTATGATGAGTGAGCTGCCTTTACCTCCTCTAACCGGACGCTAGGGATGAGGTTGACTTCCTCAGCTCGTATCACTCTTGACGATAGCCGAAGCATTGCCTCGCGTTCTGGTTAGTAGCAGTGCTTGGCAGCAAAATAGAGCTTACATTTTTGATCGTGCTTCCTACACTGACCTTTTTTAAAAAAAAGTGAAGCTGGCATTAGTGGGCCTCACCAAAGTTGAATGCGTGGCGCATTCCAGATAAACTGATCAGTACGCTGTGGCTTCTCCAATTTTATTGAAGTCACTGGATACGCATTCTTTAATGGTCAGTACACAGTGAAAGCTAATCAGTGATCAGTAAGTGCGCAGCTAATGCGGATCGAATGTGGATCGGCTACAGCGCTCTCGCTAGATTCCGGATTCGATCTCGCCTAACCAACCATCTCGTCTAAAGCGGGTCAACTTATCCAATGAGCTGATTGTGGTCGTGAACGGTGACGATGACCTTCAATCGAGGCAGTTGGCTAACTCTTCTGATTCACGCCGTCGTCGTTGGAGTTGTTGCAGTTAATGCTATCGACGAAGACAACGAGCTCGTTAAAGGTACGCAAATTTTCGTCTCTCACAAAATTTGACCGGCTCTCCGAGTTGAAAGCTTGGAATCTTCAAACCATTACCGTATGAGCTTTCTATGGGCATCTCAAACATCTTTCACACCCTAAAAATAACGACAGATCTGGATGATTTCGATCACTGTTCGATATTCCTGCAACCAGCGGTGTGGGCCGTTTTGGTGCGAAACACGGTAACCACCCCATTTATCCAAAGGAATGCAAGAGTTGCCCAACGTTACAAGTCTTGTTTCTACGTCATTTCTTCGCTTTCTGACACTGTTCGGCTCAAAGGCACTTCCCGCGACTGCACAACATAGGTAGCAGAGTTCCAAGAAAGGAGTGCATTGTGCTAGTTGCCTAGTACGACGACACGGGCAAGGTAGGCCGGCATGGGCCTCCTTGGGCCTAAAATCGAATGTTTACTGTGCTTTGCGTGCCATTTTGCAAGTTTTGAATGCAGTGCAACCTCTACAATCGCCTACTGGATCATCTGACAGTTTAAGAGTTTATAGCCTTAGTTTATCGCGGAGTGCCTTTAATCAGGGAGCTTTGTAAATGTCCAAGTTTTTTTTCTAGTTCCACTTAACACGTCTCACCTTGACAAGACCTGTCGACGCTAGTCATAGCCCTGCAAGAATAACCAGGTCTCTACAGTACCAACAAAAGCCCCCCACTAAGCCGTACTGTGAGGATTTCTTCCATGTTGGACGTCATTTAGTGTTGAAAAATTCTCTAAAGTGCTCCTACGTATTGGAATAAGCTTAATAATATTGTTTGATGACCCTGGATCATCCTGCCAACTCCTAGTCTCAATTTAATTCTAAAATCCTCTGCAAATCTACTACCTCTCAAGGGTTATGGTATCAATTACAGTATGCCGCCCAGTAGCACTTCGTCTGAAAGTTCTGTTTCTTCTCGACGGCTCCGGTTCCGTATCCGGTTCTACTTTCTCAATGCAAATGAAAATGCTTGACAAGGTCGCTTCCCTAATGAATATTGGGAAAAATAAGGTGAATATTGACTTTTTCGTTTTTTTTCCATAGGTGATATTGGACTGTTTCAAAAGCAGATAGTAAAGTGCTATTATAACCTGAAACTTGAAAATATGCCCTTTCAGAGTCAAATCGCCGTTCTACAGTATGCCAGCTACACAAGACTTGAATACGGCTTTGATGACAACCAGGTTTGTGAATCAAGCACTGTTTTGGCCTGAAACGCTCAAAAATGTCCTATGTAATTCCATATTGATCGAGGGAATAGGGTGAACTTAGAGATGACCACTCGGCCGTCTGTATACATTCCCCAAAAAGCATGGCCTCAGAAGACCAGGGTCGCTGTGAGATAGTCCCGCGAACGGATGCTCTCCGCTAAGCTGAGCCTTGATTAGGGATAAGGATACGAAGGCTCAGGCTAGAAGCCCCTCTCCCAGCTACGTTAGACCCGGCAGTCGTTCCATGCTTCTGCACAGGTGGTGAAATGGCAACTGCTCCTCATGGCCTACGCGCGGTCAGAGGTGACCCCGGATCGGCTCCTACCTGGGCTTATCAATCCCTCCTGGCTGCTTAACCGATACCAAACTCTTTTGGCACCGACTTGTAAATCGGCTTTCCCTCGTAATTCATTGTATAAGCCAAATCGCTTTACAAACGCCCACCGAAGTAAGGTACATAGGTTTATACAAGAAAGAAGTTGAGAGCAAAGCCAGGGAAAGCAATGCTAAGAGCTTTATTCTTTTTGGTTCCAATTCGGGGAGCTGGATGGGCGTATACTTCCTCTACCATTCCGGAAACTTTTTTTTTGGCTCACGTAGCTGTTACGAGACCTATCAGAAGGGGCTACACACGGGTCTAATTTAAATTCCGAACTGCTTGTCGCAAACGAGAACCGACCCGCCTGGGTGATTCGCGTTGTAAGCGGTACCACTTACGAGTACAGTACTTTGCGCGTGGAATCGGATATCAATAGTGCCTGGAGATCTCACAGTTCCAAGATCACCGCATTGCGACAAATCGTAAATCTTTGTTCATGTTTTCGCCGTCATTGTCTCGCCGTTAGCGAAAATAAGAGTTCAGTTCGAAGGTTTTCTTGTTCAGAGTCGTGATGATTTACTGGCCACACTGAAGAAAATTCGCCACATGTCCGGGACAACGAAAACCGGAAAAGCAATGCTGAAAGCATTGGATATGTTTAAGAAAATAAAACAACGTGACGATGAGGATATTTCGCAGGTGAGCAGCTTAGCTATACCACTCAGTAATGATTCCCAAAGGATTCAATCAGTTTTGCGACCTATTTTCTCGAAGAAGTACTCTGAACGAACAATATTGTTTTAACTGGGTCTTCGAAGGATTTTTCATTTGCCCTTGAAGCATCATTCAAAAAAATGAAGAGGTCAGTGAATATAAGGTAATAAGAATGATGGTAATTGTTTTGTTATGATAACTGCTGTTTAACGCCGCAGTACGCGTTCCGAATGTTATCACAAGAATGCTGAGTTATGGGCAAAAGTCGTGCCCCAGGCGGGAGTCGAACCCGCACCTCACGCTTTCCGGGCGAGTGCGCTATCCGTTACGCCACCAGGACCACTTTTACCCTCTCAGCTCAATAATGGTAATAGTAATGGTGGCACCTAAGTATCATATGCATGAGAACGTCTAACATTTCATAAAGCTTCTCTGAGATTCGTACACATACTTTCCCTATCCCAGAAATGAGAAGAGCATGGCTGCCTTCACCATTTCAACATGGCGTAGGATTCTTTTTCCGTGAAACATTTCCATTTTAAAGAACTGCCATTCTGTCTTGTGCTGGACAGGGACATGATTGCAATTGTCCAAGAACAATGCTCCATCAAAGGCGCAAGCCGGGCTCGAACGAAGCATACAGCCACGCCCCTCCTCATCTTCAGGACACGCAGTGCATATGAGAAACGCCTCCATATGAAAATCCCTGTTTTACCATTCATTTTGAAGGTACAGTCTATGGTTATCGAATGGGCGGGGATCGAGATCAATTGTAATTCCCTGGTGGTGCGCCCTTTCTTTAAGAGGGTAAGAAAGAGTGGTACGATGATGAGAAAAGCGTAACTCCATTCATACGAACCCAACGCAGGCTCTGCCTTCAAGAGACCATAGCATGGAGTAGGATGTCTAGGAGAGAGCAAGTATACAAGGTGATGATACGTAAAACGGGCATGGGAGCTAATCAAAGGACTTCTGTTTTTCCTACCAGCATGGTATGGTGCTCATCATTGCAGACCGGTGGGGCGGCGCGTGTGACTCGGCTGTGACGCGACTGTCATCACAGCCGAGTCACACGCGGCGCGGCGTTGAGCATAGTACTTCTAATCGATGACGCAGTATTTGAAATAAGAGCTTGTGGTACGACGGAGATTCCTCAACAGAGGCTGTCGTATTTGCTTGCTGGAGGAAGGGGGTTGTGTCTGCCCGAGGAAACTTTCTGATAGTTAGTTTCACTTGTTTTCACGCGCGCTGTTGGCAACGTTAGGAGACTTCCACTAAAAGGTGAGGGGTCAGGGGCGTGTCTGTATTTCACATTCACATGTGGTAGTGCGAGCATGGAACCTATAAGGGCATACTCCGCGAAGACCGTGTGGGCGGAGACTGAGAACAATTGCGATTTTGTGCGGCCAGTATGCCCCTTGTTCCGAGGTCTAGAAGAGGAGGCAGAGTAAGGTGGCCAATAAGGTGGCTTTTGTCTCCCGCCCATGCGCGATCAGAGCGGAACATCTCCATAAAGAAAAGAGAAGAAGGATTGAGCAACGATAGGGACAGCCTACTGCGACCGCTCACATAAGAAACCCGCATTTTGGCTAAAAAAATCACTACAATATTAAGGCTTATCCTCTTGAATAAACGCTTTGGTTCTAATATCAAAGTGGAGTGTAAAATTCCTCAAAGTGACTGATCCAGGATTTTTTTCACTCAGGTGGCCGTGGTGGTAACCGACGGGCACTCACAGGACAATCCAGCACCAGCAGCAGATGCTTTACGATCAGCTGGTGAGTTTTTGCATCTCCTTGCTTGCAATAGCTTTTCTAAAATGTCTTTATACTAGAATATGGCTGTTAGCACTTAAACCCTAAAGTTTAAAAGCACATACGGGCATGTCCACAAAGGAAGGGAAATGAGCTGAGACTCACAGTCCTCAGCGACGCCTTTCTATCTACCGTATAGCAAGGAAAGGCGCACCAGTGATAGTTGCACAATAGCTGTGAATCTTCACCCATTTCTCCACCCATCCGACTACCGTGGTATGGGCTTTCTATTAGCCGCAACCCCAAATAGGAGCTCAAAAACGAGATGGATAAGGTAACGTTCATATTTCGCAACTTGAGCGATTCAGTTGCGCGATTTGACAAGTGGGAGACTGCGCTCCATTGCTAATAGTTGGACCATTGCAACTGCATCCTTCGACCCTCGCGGCGGTCCACAAATTATTAAGAGAGCACGTTGGGACGCAATCGCGCGATTGAAGAGCTCGAATTCCCGAGTATGAACGCAGTGAAAGTCATCTGTATTGCAGGAGTGACCATTATAACACTGGGCATCGGAGATCATATCAATCGTGATGAAATCGTTCGAATCAGTGGCAAAGATGAACTGGCATTCCAAGTAGGTAACTGAATTAATTTGTATGATGAGATGCTATTTGAGACATCCATAAAACGAAAAACAGCCCTGTTCGGCTTGGAGGGGCATTTTGCACTTCCTCTAGTTCTTTTTGCTAGTACATTTCAACAAGTAGATTACCACCTGTTAAGAAGCAGCAAAGTGGTAAAAGTGAGAAACTCTAGTCTTAGGATTTTACATGTCGTTACAAGGTGGCTTGTGCAAGCCTCACTGAGTACCATTTATTGCCCCACCAAGCCGAACTGTGCTTGAAACCATTTGAAGAGACAATAGCACCCTTTAAATGTCCCACTTTTACAGAATCTTCACAAAAACGTGTCGCTCGAGCATTTCGTAGCCGGCTTCAAAAATCTATCCGAAGGAGAGCATTGTGAATACGCTAGAGGTAAGACGTTCTTCAGCTTCATTATCACCCACAAGTTGCTTTCACCTTATCTCGCCGTAGCCGTAATGTGCCCTGAGAAGTGAGCATTGATTTTACGCGTATATGTTCCATGGGAGTCGATGGCAATGCTCAATTCGATAGAAACAAAAGTGGGGCGTGGCTTAAGACACTGGGCGGAGCACAGGACACTCCACAAGCTCTGGCAACCTTGCCACGCATTTTCAAGTGGCGAAAGTTGCGAACCTCGTAAGGCTGTGGAGCGATCCACCCATAGGCGGAAAGGGTTCCACGTCCTCGATAGCCGCGAAACATACTTGTAATTATTTCTTGGAAGTGGCCCTTCGGACAACAACAAAATAGGATAGAGGTTCCATTAAATTATTGGAGGATCTACCACAGTTAGGACACACCATGTGGGAGAAATTTTGTAAAATTTGACCCCCTCTCCTCAAAGTTTCTAGGTCTTGTACGCCCCCCCCCTCCCCTCCCCAATCCCAATATCATCCAACCAAATTTTCCCAACTTTCTAACACCTTCCAACCTGGAATTCTCCAGTTTTTTTTTCGAAAACTACAGTCGAGGAGGGGGTATATACCGCACATGGAATGAGGAAATTTGACCCCCCCCCCCCTCGTTCTGGGCATCCAGTACGGCCCCCTCGCTAGGGATCCTCAACGGGACTTGTCCTGAGCACAGTAGACCGAGGAAGGTGGGACTATAGTCAGCGTCAGCGTGAAACGATGGGCACAAATGCACAAGAGGCAAAGAAGGGCAGACTGCTGAAAAAGGATACTTTTCATATCGGTGTAACTTGTCTATAAGTATTGCTTCTTCCATATGGACTTGACGATAATTTTTATAAATTTGCTTGCCTAAGGAGTGGATGGAGCTGAAATCACTTGTGGTCCGGATTTCGTGCAAGTAGGAATCTCGACGACGAAAAAATTGAAGGTAAGCTCATCGGTTTCCTACGATTTCGCGAACAATTTCATTGATTTCTAGGGTCGACTGTTCTTCGAGGGTTATCACCAAGAACCCGGATGCTCGTCGATGGAGGATACTTCCCACGGAAATAACGACGGATCACGATTCGACGTGCGCACTATAGCTCCACATGGAAAATGTGGCCTGATAAAAGTCTACGAGGTACTGTAGTCTGCCCACAACTTATGGTGGACTTTCCTAGGCGCTAACTACCTTGGGGGCGTGTAGAGGACTTCTTGTACAAAGCTGGCCATTTACAGTCATGTGTGTCGCTTTTCGGATTCAAGCAGGGCGCGACCATTGGTTCAGGTAAGATAAGGCGCGCACACCGTTGGGGCACGCTAGATTTTCTGCCGACCTCCGCGCTGGGCTGTGCCCGGCCCCTCCCTGTGACCACCTAACTGCATTCCGTGCAAGTAGAGACACTGATCTCCTCACGCACTGTTTCGGAAATCGGCCGCTGCCTCCGCCGATAACGCAGCCCCTGGACAGGCCCCAGCCAACCGCAGCTGAACGAAAACCACGGTGAATTACATAAGAATTGCATTACTGCACTCAAATTGGCTTGTCAATTCCCAGGAGCTCTCCCTTCTTATAGTTAGCGGCAAGCCCTTCTCTCTGTTTGCGAAACTGCTGTTTGCCCACAAGGCATACTTCAAAGGACGGGTCCTGAGATATGGGAGGCGTTCCCGGTTAGGTGGGTGCTTGAATATGGAAGAGGTGTCAAGGGACTCGTCTTTGAAGAGAACATGCAACGGGGGGCTCTCAAGAACGCCTTTAATGGGCCCCTCCAGTCCCCAGCAATTGGCCGAGTGCGAGTGAAGAACACCAGGTTGAGACGAATCCAGTCAGCCGATATCTTACAATGAACTAGGACCCTCCAATAGACAATGAAGCCTTCATTTCATCTAGTCGTCCAGAAGCATCGTTTTTCGCTGGAAAGCAGACTTCGGAGGTCAAGAGGCGGAGGTGACTGAAAAAGGGAGGTGTCACTGGAGCAACATTGCGCCCTAGCCTTCTTACCTTACAGCTTTCTCCCGCAAAACTGGAACAAGGTTGTCCAGTGCAGACCACACCACGATTCCCACGCCAATTCCAATTCTCCACATTGTGTGATCGGTCATCGCAAAAAGTTCCTTCGAAACCCTCCCCCTACCCCACCTCCTGCCTCGACCTCCAACGTTACAGAACGTCTTTTTTGGGATAATCTGAAACACTTTATCACATTCTGTTCCTTTTTTTTTTTTCACTTCCTCAGCTGTTCCACTAGCTTCGCTGAAACTGACAACTTGTGTGATACACGACAAAAGCCGTAGTTCAGGCGAAATCCCGAGGTTTTGTGGTCTCGTCGCGAGCGGTACTCCAATTTGATCGACGATTCGCAACCGCCAACGATCACTCTTTCGAAATTCGATGCTTCTATCCGGACAAGACAAAGACGGCGAAAAGCCCACAGAGAGTCCAAGGAGTCACCACGCTGGTGAATGGGGCCGATTTTGGACGGGTAGTGGTTACATCAAAAGCGGACTGGACATAGAATATTTACTGCCACGTTTTTTATTACACTCGTTATATTCAGAAATTGGAGGGAACTTCTGAGAGGTGTACAACCATGCGATGAGATGCCGCTCCATCTGTCAGCCTCTACCAGGAACAATGCTCTTCAAGTTGCGCTTTCCGTTCGTGAACACCACTGGCTGCATATGGCGACGTGTGTATTCAGAGGTAGCTTAAAAGCCCAGTCCACGCTGATATTGTGGGCCGGTAGCCAATGATTGTTCCTTTCTCATTTGTGCACCACTCCTACTAAGACTGTGGAGACGAAGGGCGTTAGTGAGGACGGGCACTATGACTGACTCTTTCCGCCCACATGGCCAGTGTGGACTGTAATCTTGACGAGGGTTGTGTTCTTCCAAATACCAAACGAGAATGAATCAAGCTGTATCCGACACGACACAACCCTCTTCAAAGATATAAAACGATTATATAACAGATTGATGGGCGCGCGGATTTGTTGCACACTTTCAGATCACCCACGCTTTCGGGTGCATTCCTGCTTTATCGTCGATCCTATCTCTCATCGTATAGAAATGGTCGTCGATCATAATGGGTAAGTTTACTGATAGTGATGTACGATTGTCAGCTTGTCACGAGGTATTCCCTCTGACCATGCGAGCAAAAGTCGCCAGACTCTTCTATCGCTGCCTTCAGAGTCATCTCACGGTTCAACGTTCACTTTACTTCCTTATATCGTATTACATTATTCCAGATTTCCGGAATGAGACTCGACAACTAAGAAGAGGAGGCAGAAGGGTGTTACTACAATAAGACGGTAAAAATTTCCAATAAAAGGAATCCTTAATGAGTGAGTTTACAGCTCATCACTGCGACTGAGGGCGGCTGTGCAACGCGGTCCAAATGGGCGTTCGGCCTCGTTGCTCTACCAATGGCGATCGGGTAAAGATCGATTTGGGGAGGGAGCAACCAATGAAACGCCGCAGGTGCGAGCCGCTGCTAGCGACCCGACGATGGCGGTGAGGTAAAGTGTATATGATGCAGACCCCTCAATGCAGATCCTTACGAGAAAGTCAAGTGCAGCCACACTCCCGAGCGACTTGATACGACTCATTCGTTGAGGATTCCTTTTATTTTGTTGAACCTCTCCATAAAATAGCGCAAGATGAGTAACTGATAGAGAGTAGACTGTAAAAGTAGTGAGACTGTGATCAGTTAAAGGCAAGCCCGTGACCATAGATTGCGGGTAACGGAGCTCAAACAATGAACGACCAAATGCTAGTTGATCTGACTTAATGGAGAAAAGAGCAGAAAAACAGCCCGATATCCCCATATACGGACTCCATGCCATTCCAATTGGTACGCTGCACTGCGAATGAAGAGAAGGCGTGCTTTTACGAATTCTCACTCGTCGTTATCATAACGATATCCAACTCTTTTATCTTATCACCTCACTCTCACCATTCGGAATGGAGAGAGATAGCATAGTGGCTACTAGCTAGTAGCTAGCAGCCGGTGGGGGTCGGCATGGGTCTAACGTGAGGGTGCCCATGGAGCCTAACTGACCAGCTTCCGAGTTTTTGCAGATTTTCACTTTTTGAACGGAAGCAGCCTCAGAATTCGTCTTTCGGATCATCGAGTCATCTAGCCCTTGTTTTTTATCGCGCGGAAAGTGACCTGAACGTTATCTGCTTGGTTCCTTCCCCAAAAAAGCGCATGTTTACGGTCACGACAGCGCAGTTGCCACAGTACTGTTCGCTGTGGACGCTGGACTTTGGAATTTGGCTGTGTTGGCGCTGCGCCAGTCCGTGTTCCACCAACTTCGCTGAGCTCACTTCGACCATTGATGAAGAACGTGCTGGCGCCGCGCCAAACCCAGTGCCCTGGTATGCTCCATCATCGGCAGCAACTAAGACTGTAACTGGTCGAGGCGAATGGAATAGCAGTGTGTTTGCAAGTTGCGTCGCATGCACGCCTGCCAAGATTGAATCGATCTTGACGAGAATATACGCCGAGTCAACTAGCTAAGTAACGCTGCGAGCGTCGAGCTAAGTTTTGCTTCTCGTCGAAACTCGGACCTCTAAGCCCACAACCTTCACGTTGGGAATTTGCCGTCCCAAGCAAGCACCGAAGCGGTGGTAGGGAACACTTGGCAAAAAAGGTGGACTAAGTGACAAGAAGGTCCCGGTTGGCCTAGGTAAGTCGATCCACGGACTGTTCCTATGCTAATGGCGCCTCCTATCATTGTGACAGATCTACTTCAGATTAATAGCACTAGATTCCGGTAAACTACTGTATTTTAGGTGCATTACTCAAAAATCGATCATCGCCGCCATCGATTACTCCTCAGACGGTAGTGTGACAGCCGTTGGTAGAGCGGTTCGCTTTGCTGACATTCCTATTCTGAAATTCTCCTGTAAACTTCGCTTATGCAATTCGTCCGACGGCCAGTGCAGTCCCAAGGAGGTTAGGTCCGATACCATGCATTACCAAATGCATAACACCGAATTTCAGGCTCCTCACTGTCGACTGAAACGCGAAACTCCGGAGGGGGCAAATTCTTCAAACGACGCTGAGCCGGAGTATGTAAGTATGTTTGGTCCTTCAACGCTATTTGGCTGCTCTCAGCTCCTGTTCGGACAAGTAACCCTTTCAGGACACTTATGACGACGGCAACGTTGAGGAACGGATAGCGGAGCCCGAGAAGGCCACGGTGTTTCCTGATGAGGGTAAGACGTTGCCACAGCTCATAGCGTTCCTCTTTACCATTAGAAACCATTTCAGAACCGACAACGACAGTCTCTCTGCCACAAATCTTGCGTGATCCCGCCAAAACTACAGCGATCCCTTGGAGAAGGTCTTATTCTTACTCTTCTAGCTTGTAACTTATTATGACGTCATACTATTCCAGCGCATCACCAGTAATATCATCAGCCCTCCCAGCTGGTGGGATAGATGTGAAGCTGGATCCAAAGCCCTTGGCCATAATGGAAACTGATCAAGCCAGGGATCGTTTCAAACAGGTCAGGTTGCTTGAGATTACTGTACAATAGAATAGCATACTGACAACCAAATTTTAGGCTCTACAGCTCCGTGCGAATTCAGTCCCAATGCAGGTTGCACATACAGTCACTGAGCCTCTCAACAACACATCTAAATCACTTCCAAAGAGGAAAAACCCACTTAAAGTTTTGCACAGCAGTGGATTGACTGTGAAGAAAGTAAAAGGTGTCGTGCGGCAGCTGCCTAGACCCCTTACCGTTCAAGAAATGCATCAACTGGTCAGTACTGAAGGGCCTCTCGCAGAACTGCCAGGAGTAGCGGCTGAAGAACTACATGAGGTGTTTGAGAGGATTATGGACGACCAGGAAACAGCTCCTGAACAGAGGTGAGGAGCTTTTATCTGCGAGCACGCGCACGTTCACCGCATTCCTTTCCTCCGTTGACCCAGCTGGCCACTCTGGCCGACGGGTGGAAGCAGCGGAACAATCGAGAGAAACAAGTCGCCGCGCCTCAGCGAATCCCGTAGAAAAAGTGTCGTATCTTGAGCTTCAGAACCCTTCTCTCTGTCCATGTTTTTTGTTCTATTGCACGCGCTATCCTCACGTTGGCAGACACATCACATTGGGAGCGCGGATCGTATTTCCTTTGAGAGGGGAGGGGGGGGGGTCGTATTAGGCCTTAATATGCTATTTCTTCCCCTCCTCTTCAGCCTCCTCGGCAGTTTTTGGAAGGAAAAGGTGCAGGAACCCCCGAAGAGGAAAACTCCTGAGTAAGTGGTGGAGAGTTGGTAAAAATTGTAGTAGGGAGACCGAGCGAACTGAGTTTCGAGGCGAATGTTGCGCACGTCATCCTTTTGAAACGCCTCTTCTGACGCACTCGCTGCCACTCGGAAGTAACGCTTCATACCCGTCAAAGCGGTTCCCCCTCCCCTCGCCGCTCCCCGCCCCCGAGTACATTCAATCGGCGATTAGGAAGAGATAATGCAAATTAATATTGGTTAAAAGCATAGTACAGCGTAGCATCATAGCCGTGTATCCAGACCAGTGAGTGTCAGAAACTGAACCTACTTACTGATACTGCCGTCTTGCAGCGAACCCATCCACCTTGACAAGTACAGAGACTTCAGCTCCAACCACCACGACCAAGCTCGACGACAACTCCTCAGCCAATCGCGGAAATCATTCCTGTACGTAACCCCATCATTTTGACTCTTCAGTAGCCAGAAGATTCAATGTTTTTTTTTCAGGATAACGAGCTTGAAGAAGAGGTAGTGGTGGTCAGCGATGCCATTGTCATACGATTACCCCACGAAGCATACGTAACCGGTTGCAATGAAAATGCTCAGTGTACATAATTGTTTGCTCCTAATAAAGTATTCACCTGATGAAAAATCATTTGGTAAAAAATGTGAAAGAAATCCACCTCACTTAGGGGTGCTATGGAACAATTTGACGAGTTTCCCACCCTGACCCCGCCCACCCCGGTGCATGCTCCGCCCACTGCGACTCTATGTCCACTGTCTAATCTCCTACCTACTGCTCACTTTGCTCTATTTTTGCGCTCCCTAGGTGAGTATCTGACTTTTGCTTCGCGCACCGATGCTCCGCCTTCTGCGAGTTGTCGTACTAAAGCAGCTAAGAAAGAAATTACGTTCACAACGCCTTATCAAAACACTCATCTCAGCATCGTTTTGCAAAGGACGCAGTCCAATGCAAGTGAACGTGCAGTCGCTACGTGGCTTCTACTTTCAGCCGGCAACATTAGCCTGGCAGTAAATGTCCGAGAAATCATGTTCATTAGCGCTTAAAGAAGGCTCGTTGCTCCACACTACTGCTAATGTCGCAATGTAATGGAAGCGAACGTGCGGTCGCGTGGCGGCGGCGCTGATAGCTTTAATTGTGGGTGTCATCAAAAGGGATTTGAAGTAACCTGAATGAAACCTGTTCAAATGGGATTGTATGAAATTGCGGTATACGAGGCTCAATTGGCCGCTGTTGTTGGAGCACGTAATTCTAGAACCGGGAAAGGATAGCATTATCCTGAGATTCTTCAAAAACCTCGCGTTTTTTTTGGCGCTGAGAGCTGGGAGGGGAGATGTGGCTCGTGAACTAGCAGAACTGCTCCTGGTTAGCTGACACGGTACACTGCAGGGTAACAAGGTCACAAAAGTTAAGTCGCAGGGCAAATACCTTGCGCGTGACATTAATTGACCCCTCTTTCGCCTCAACTCTCGGATATGCTTACAGCCGTTTCAGCTGTAGACGCTTGGGCCTTTAGGGCCAGAGAGGTGAGTTTACCGAGGGGTCAACCCGCGACGGCTGGGGCGTGTCAGCCTTTCCCGGTTCTAGAATTACGTACCAGGGTACAGCATGGGGATGTGTGAAATGGCAATGTGGGTACGACCCCCCCCCCCCTTTCGCCTCAACTCTCGGATATGCATACAGCCGTTTCAGCTGTAGACGCTTGGGCCTTTAGGGTCAGAG